CCAATTATGAGAATGCATTTCTGTATTTTTCAGTAGTCATGAATGCAATGTACAATCACATTGCAGAAATCTGTGTTTCCACAAATGTCTATTTTGCAGAAATCTGCTGCTGTTATGATGTGGAAGGTCTTCTGGTGGCAAAAGAGACAACCCAGGCTTCAAAAGTTTTGTTGATACTTAAAGCCTTTTTGATTCGTTTCTTCAAGATTACTAGTAAAGAGAACATGATCCTGATGCTGTCTTTTATTTGGCCCAATGCAGCTACTCTTCCCTTTGTGTTGCTGAAGACCTGAAGACAAAGACAGGAGTGAGTAGAAACAGTTTATGCTGTCTGCTTACAGAATCTGGTATGTCCTTTTCCCTCAGTAAAATTGGAAACCACTTTTTGAGTCGGTTTTGTGGAGTTTTAGATAAAAACAACAAGGCATAGTAATTAGGAAGATATACACTTTGTTGCTGCTCCTTTGTTCCTGCATAATTTCTACCAATCTCCACATTGAGCATCAAAATCACACCTCACTAAACTTGCATTTGGGATTGAGCTTCTGTTAACGATCATTTCCTTTATCTCGATCGAGATGAAATTGAGGCGGCTTTGAAAATGATAGATAAGCCTCTGATTACTGTGTACAAGTCACAATAAAAATTGAATTTTTCTTTGCTTTCATTGAGATTTGAACTCAAGACCTCCCGCTTACTAAACGGGTGCTCTAACCAACTGAGCTATGAAAGCAATCTTTATATTTTTTTCTTTTTTTGAATATTTTAAATAAAGAAGTCACGATGTTTTGTGTGCATGTGTGATTTTGCGTCATGCTCTCGAAAATTTTTTATGTGCAAGTTATAGCATCAAAATTACTTCTAGTTTTAGTAAGATATATTTAGAGTGTCATAATAACCAAGGAATGTTAATATTATACTTAAGTGTTAGAAATAATAGCCAACCTCTGAAGTTGAATCAACATGACTCATTCCTTAAATGTTGTTTCTCGTTCTCTCCCTTGATAACAAACTCCTCTAGAGTCGAGGGATCCTATAAAATAATGTCCGGGGATAAATCCCTTTAATGTTTAAATCAATAGAGAGCTCAAGAGAATGAGTTTTAGTTCGGAGAGTTAGAGTTAAGTGCAAAGAGGTCCCTTTTATAGGTCCTAAGCAAAGGTATCAATATAGAATTTTTTTTTTTTATGTCTTGTCTAGTTATGCTCAAGTGACATTCCATGATGACTAGATAGACTACACAAGCCTAGGTGGTGCCACACCATCATAATACTAGTTGGGCTTTTATGGCCAACTAGGTGACATGTGTTGAGCTTCAATTGGTTTCTTAAGGTTGGATGGTGACATGTGTGAGTATAGATTGATTGTTAATTCTAGTCATATCATTCATCCTCTATTGTGCTTCATAGAAAAACTTTTCTATATTAAAGCATAATATCTAACTAAGAACTCGAAAATCATTACCTATATTAAGAAATGGTTAGGTAAAGACACATGAGATGTAAAAAATACAGTGATAAAGCATATCTTGAACTACTCGTGTAAGTAGCGTTAGTCAGAAGAGATACATGAGGGTTTCAAAATATGTTTAAATTATCTAAGTAGGAGATTGTCATAGCGTCGATGCATGTCGATGCATGCTAACTTGAACTACTTGTATAGGAAGTCTTGGTTGCAAAAATGAATGAGGGCATTATTGTATGTTGACTTAAACTATCCACATAGCAGGCATCAAATATTGGAGATATATAAAGGCATTCGGATATGCTGACTTGAACTACTTGTTGCTTAAAGGGTAATCAAGTGCATAAGACTTGTGAGGGCATCGACATGTGCAAACTTAAACAACTTATATATATAGTGTTAAATGCATAAAACATACGAGGACATTGAGGCATGCCAAAATAATAGCCCACATAGTGGTACTAGATACATGAGGTACATGAGAATAGTGTAAGTCTACTTGAAACTCCAACATGAGGGGTGTTAGATGCATGAGACATTCAAAGGTATCGAGACATGTTGACTTATACCACCCATGTAGAGGTGTTGGACATATGAGACAAATGAGAGCTTTGTGTCATACTACCTTGAAATTCTCGCATAAGAAGGATTAAATGCATGAGATGTGATGGTATTAAGATATACCGACTTGAGCTACTCATGTAGAGTGTCAAGACATGTTAGGGCATCATGTGATATCGACTTGAATTATCTAAATATCAGACACGGGAGACATATAAGGATATCGAGGCATGATAACCTGAATTGCCCACATAGGGAGTATTGGAAGCAAGAGATACTCGAGGGTGCATCAATATGAACTACCCACATAGGGGTATGTCAAACACATGAAATGCATAATGGCGTTGGGGCATATTGCCTTAAACTACTCATGTAGAGGTTGTCAAAATTATGAGATGTTTGAGGGCATCAGAGTATTCCAACTTGAACCTCTTTGGTAGGTGGTGTCAAATGCATGAGGTGCATGAAGACATCAATGCATGCTAATTTGAACCACTTGCATGGGGGTTTTGGATGCATGATATAAAGAAGGCATCAAGGCATGTCTTCATCTATCCACACAAGGAGCATCAAATGCAAAAGTACATCGTGGCATGTTGACATAAACCACTCTCGTAGGTACTATCAAATGTATGAGACTTATGATGACCTGAAGCATATCGATTTAGACCATCAACATAGGGCTATCGAATGTATGAGGGCATTAGGGCATGCTAGGTTAAACCTCTTAGGTAGGAGTGTCCAACACAAGAGGTGCACAAGGGCATTGACACAAGTTAACTTAAGCTACACATGTATCTCAATGCCAATAATATAAGGTGCCTCATTCATATCAACTATTTTACAATTCTTAGTGAAATTTCTTTTGGTTTGGTACAATAAACTAAGATCACTAATGGGAAGCAAAATATTATCCAAACATAAGATCAATATAATAAACTTACTCCTACTGATCTTTAGATAAAAATATTAATCAAAAGTATTTTCCTTAAATTTGAAGGAAGTAATGGTATAAAAAAACTTTACATATTATTATCTGGAGATTTATTTAAGGTTATAAATGAATTTCCTAAATTTGCATACTAAATTTTATATTTCTTTTATTTTCTCTACGAATCATTATTTAGGTTAATTCATATAAATCTAGATTTCCATTCAGAAAAGTTATTTTTACATCCTAATCCTATATCCACGTGATACTCAAAATCATAATGAGTTACTAATATCATAATAATTCTTAATTAGTTTATTTAAAAAAATTTAAAAAATATCTCGTTATGATCGATACATTCTTTATGAGTAAAACCTTTAACCATAAGTCTAGTTATCATATTGTTCTATATTACTCTTTTAAGTCATGTTTATATAATAAACTCTTTTATAATTATTAGGCAATTCGACAAATTCTATTCTGGTTCATTTATTTCAACTCTTTTTTTATTGCATCGTATCATTTTATAGAATAATTGTTTTTTATAACTTATGAAAACAACGAGGAATCCCTTAGATTCTATATCATAATATGATTCTTGTAGATATACCATATATAATAAAAAATGATAAGTCTCTTTTCCCTTTGAAATATTCTAAAAAATGTTGGTGTTTATCAATATTATTAGCAATGACATCAACATCATGTGGGAGTTTATCAATATTATTTTATTATTCACCCTCATTAATTTTTTTAGTAATTTGAGGAACAATAATATTTCGAATATAAAATGATAAAGGAATATCAACATGTATTTCTTTAATATCAAAATTAAAATTTAAGATTTTCACTCTTATTGTTTTGTTATTTTCTAATAATCTTACATTACTAGATTTAATTATTCTCGTACTATGACTAAAGGAATAAAATTTATATCCCTTTGAATTTTTTGGATAAATAATAAAATATTCAAAAATAATCCTTGAATCTAAATTCATTTCATGTGAATTGAAGACCCTAATCTCTTTAAGATAATTATAAATATATAAATATCTTAAATTGAGTTTTCTACTAGTCCATAACTCAAAAGAAGTTGATGGAATTAACTTACTAGGAATCTTGTTTAAGATATACATAATCGTTCTTAGGGCTTCACCTCACATTAATTCAGGTATAGAAGAATAACTTATCATGCTCATAATCATATCCATAAGAGTACGATTTCGTCTTTCAACAATTCGTTCTATTCTGGCACATCTAGTAAAACATATTAAGTACAAATACCTCATTTTTCTAAGAATCTAATAAATAACTAGAATTATGATTGGGTTCATCATAACTACTATAAAACTTATCACCCCTATCAGATAATTTTGACCTTTCTATCTAATTATCTCTCGATTTTATTTATATACACCTAAATGTGTCAACAATACGAGACCTTACATGAATTAGATATATATAGTTATGTCTCAATTGATAATATATAAAGGTGATAAAATATCTTTCTCCACCAAAATAGAAAATATGAAGTGACTCATAGATGTAAGTATATATAGTCTTAAGGAGTTCAAGAAACTATGTTTCATTCTAATATTTCATTATAGGATCATTGTAAACTCAAGATTCATATTAACTCTGTATAGACCATCATATAGAAAAAATTATCTTTTATTGAATTATGATAAGTTTACCTCCGTCAAAAGA